AAAAGAACATCTGAAGTCGTCTATAGGATCTGGTGCAGTTGCGGATAAGGCAACTACGTTGAAGCAACTGCCAGACTTCTCAAGACGCTTCAGCAGTGCCGAGAAATGATGTCAATTCTCAAGTCGCGGCTCATTCGACGAGACCCGGCCAAATATTCAAATTTTACGAGGCCGAAATTCTTGCAAGAGGTGGACTACTTGAGTCATGGTTCACGGGCTCCCAGTCCATAGACAAGTTCAACGACCTGCCCAATCCGTATTCCGTGCTGGGGCTCAATTTGGTCAAACAAATCGGCCATCTTGTCGTCTTACGCCGACACCGGGAACCAGCTGGCCGAACAGTCATCACGTCCACTTCTCCCACGCGTGATGCAAGTTCTGCAGGTCACGGACTGCATACCGGTAATCAAGCAATCCACGTATACGAAGGCACTTATAGTTAATTATCGTTATTTGTCATACTTGTGCAATACTGACTGTGTCCTATAAATACTGCAACTCCCTATGCATGTGTCACCCGCTTCTGCTACTATTTTCTGCTCACGTCTCTGAGGGAGAATCCATGGTGGGTGTTGAAACGTCAGGCGAATTATAATGGTGCCCCTACGACCGAATCTTTTTCTTCTTCTTATCACTTACTTCCTGGAACTCGAATGTTCGCTTGTATTGAAGTCTCATTTTCGGTTTTTCGAATTTAAAGAGAGCTGGGACTGTTATAACAGAGTCGAGACTTGCTTGGCAAGCAAATCCCCGACCGATATTTCATAAACTGTCACGTCTAACTGCTTCCATCCATCAGATGTTGCCATTAGACTGTTGGGGTAGTCCCAGTACGGGACAAAGGAATACACAGCTGTCACTTAGCGTGATAAACAGAGTCGAGGCCTACTTGACAAGAAAATCCCCGACCGATTTTTCATAAACTGCCACGTAAAACTGCTTCAATCCGTCACGTGTCGCCATCAGACAGTTTGCGTACTCCCAATACAGGGTAAATGAGTGCACCGCTGGCACTAAGCACTAACCCATGAGTAAAGCTCAATGGAAGTTTACTATGGTGGTCTGAGGCCAAACGCTTAGATAAATATTGTTTCTGGTGATCGCTGCTTTCGTATTTCTAGTTCAGATCTGTGCTTGAGTGGTTCTTGAAGACATTTTTGCTAAGGCGTAGAAATAAATCATTCTAACCGAGGGCTTAAGATAATTTGTGAAGTTTTTTTACACCTGAATGGCCTAATTAAAGTTACCGACCGATCTCATGAAATTATCAGCGCAAATCAGCCATGCGCTTTAGCTTTGCAAGGATTACCTTAGCAAGTTTTTAATATCGATAGTAACACAGCTTGCTCCCGGGGTAGCTGAGGCACACTGGAATGCACACGTTTTCAATGCTGCACTAAAATAATATCACCTATGTATCGTGATTTGTTGATTTTGAGTGTTTTCCCCATAAAATACATAAAAATTTTAAAAAAATTTTAAAAATATCGTTTTTCTATTAATTTTCTATCAAATCACACCTTTTTCAGAGTCTTTATATCTTCATTTGATTTTTGGTTCCAAAGTTCTTAATTTCTAAGTGCCTTCTTAGTGCGATTCTCTCTTATATTTGCTTTGTGGGTTTAACACTTATTAGTTCTATACAATTAAAACTAGCTATTTCTTTGTTTTATTAAAAAGAAACCATGCACGGATTATACATTTTTTGATGGAGGTGGATTATAATACAAACTTTCTGACACGTATTTATAAATAGATAAATTGTATAATATTTGAGTGAACAGTAGACGAAAGTAAAAAAGACACGTTTTTCATGAAGCGGTTGAAAAACAAGAGTTTTAATCACAATCTCTAAAATCACGATTTCTTATCACGATTTCTTCCTCAATCTATGAAATATATCTAAATGTATAAGGGCCTCGAAAATAAATAGGAAAAGATATAC